CATAGAGCCAAATGGAAACATGAGTTTTCAAAAGGCTTAGAATATAATCTGGGGTGTTTTTTTATTATTAGGATTTAAAAACTATCATATGTACTTTTTGCTTCTAAATTATTTTATTTAGAAAGAGATGTCAAAATGAAGAGGAAAAATAATAATAAAAGAAGTATAAAGAAATATTTAGCACCTGTCAGACATTGTTATAATTCACACTGTCGAGCTAGGAATCACTGTACTGTGTAAAAGTGATGATTTGAAACCTTTTAGTAATCTCAACAAGTTTTAGTTAGTTTACAGTACTTGCTGGATCTGCTGTCCCTTAGAAGTGGTGAGAAGCACAACCAGCATTCAGGCTGACTTGCATCTGATTTGCCATCCAGCAGCCAAAACAGACATTATCTTAATTACTGTAATAAAACTGAAGACAGACCAGCCTACTTCCTTGCGTATCTGTGACACGACAATCACTATTTTCCTGGATCAAACCCTATGTATCTGCAGCTTTCTCCCACTGCAGCTTGTAATCCACAACTTCATTAGCTCTTGACACAGATTTATATGTGTTCCACCACTGTTTTGAGATAACATGTAACAGTAACAATTTAGTTACTGTACTGCTATGACATTTTATTTTCCTAGATTAATGAGGCAGCTTGCAGACATTTCTTGCATCAATAAAACAGCAAAATTTTAATGTCCCAAGAAGCTACATAATTTGAGGGACTATTATTTGCAGTATCCTCCATATGCACAACTCACTTTCCTCCTTGTGACTGTGTTATTGCTAGTCCACTGTACTGCTCTTAGGGAGAACATTCTTCCTTAGTGATTAACCCTTATGCGGCACTACTGCTGATAGTTTCCTCCTGCTGTTTGCATTAACTCTGTGGTTAATAAGAATTTCTTCATTCATACGAACAGGCAAAAACAAAATAAGGCATTAGCAATAGTCCTCCACAGAGTAAACTAAACTTCTTGGACAGAAATCTTAGTTCTAGAGACTTACAGGGAAAAAAGGGATATAGATTTGATGAACACTGGGCAGCACAGGAAAAGACAGGAACATAAGCACGATCCTTGTTATGCTGATGAAGGACTTGCCATATATTTTCTTTCTCAGTCTTCACTCCTGCTCTTAGGGAAGGGTGAGCTGGGACAGCATGGCCATATTTTTATTAATGTTCCGTGCATTCCATGCCTGCTTATTGTTTTCTGTCTTGTGTTTACAAGTCAAGCATGCTCCATATGTGTATTCAGGACTCAAGAGCCCAAAATAGGCCATATATCTCTCATAGTTACAATAATAAACTCTGGAAAACAAGGCTATCGTCCTGAACACTGCTACTGGACATCTGGAATTAGATACAAATTGCAAGACAGATTTATATGGCTATATAAACCACTGTTATTCTGTATGAAGTCTACCTAATATTTTGCTTTATTTCGAGTTACAATTCTGGCTACTGTTACTCTTAATGGTGAGCAAAAAACAGTCAAGCATTATCATGGCCACAATTTTCATGCCTAAATATCAAAGGTCAGGTTCATCTTTGGCTCAGCAAACAGAGATAGCTCAGTATTCAGATATGCTGCATTTTATCACTTCTCATTACATACAATAAGGGACAATACCCTATTCTCAGACCTCACACACTTTTTTTAAACTCATCAGGGAGAAAGGAGCTCTCACCTCCATTCCTAGCAATGGATGCAACAGAGTATAAGAAAAATGGGACTTCCAGTTGGAGGTCTCAAGTCACCCTCACTGATTCTCACTGTGTAACAGACAAGCGTATAAAAATGATCAAAACAAGGTTCACATGGGGCTACAAGTTATTAATATTTTCAACAAATGATCTTTTATGCGTATTACAGAGTTTGGAAAATGTGCTATTACATCCACAGCAAAACTTCAATTAAAAGAATCAATCTAGCATTTATTAGCCAGTACCAAAAATGATCATTTGAGAAGTAAGATCAATATAAAAATTAAATCTTTTTAAAGACCTTGACCATTAATGAAAAGGAAATCCCTCTCATACAATAAGAAATGTTTATAACATACGTTCAGAACAGATTCCCTCACTTCAATAACTTTTTATGATGTTAAAATTGACAATCTTCCAATTTATGTTTCTATGTTAGCAAGACTTTCCTTTATTTTATCTAACTCCATGATTCTGGACTTTTTTTCCCAAGTTTACCATGGGAATAAAAAAAGTATCTTAGTTTATGTCTGAAAATTTTATCATCTAGATTATATCAACCACAGATCTCATTTAATACTTAATGCTGAGATACATATATGATACAATTGGAGGCTATTCTCTAATAATCATTATTGTTGTGACATCTTGCCTAATATAGAGGTACATGCAGGGAGGTACTTGACTGAGATCTCCTTCCTGCCTATAAAATCGTTTTCCATGAAGTAACTGACCAAATAAACACTGGGTATCAATTCAGAGCTTGGTTTAGAAACATTTCACTAAAATCGGGAGTTTTATTGCAGGGAAGTCTAGATTGACAGCTCTTCCTATATCAGAGCTCCAGAAATGGCCTAACATGCTTTGTACCCACAGCACAGGATCTCTTAATTGTTTAAAACTTGAGTTAGAGTGTTTAACTTCTTGTCCTCTGGGGCTATCGCAGACTACAGTTGCAGTAAAGTTCGTAACAGCCTGGTGGTGTCTGAAAGCAAAGGAGGAGGATCATGCAGCGCTTGGCCATTTCTAGCTAATAAAGGATTTCATTGTTGCAGGGACTGTGGATGGTTTGAGAGCCCTGAGGTGGTCCCAATGTGTTAGCCACCCTGAGTTTACTGTCCTATCAGCTTTCCACTATGCCGCTCAGTGGCACAGCGTCCTAAGATCTGCACACAGCATAAAGAGCATTGTATAAAAATATTCTAATGCATTTAATATGGAATGACAACTTTTTATATGACAAATAACAGCCTGATATAACTATATCGGAAAAAAAAAATTGATTTTGTGCCCCCCATGATCACCATCGAGGAGCACAAAGAAGGTCCCAACCTGGAAACATTCTATATAGGAGGATATATCAAAAGAACAATTCAAAATTGCTCTTGAAACAATGGTGAAAGCCTGATATTATTTTGGCAAAACTTGTTTTCATGCTACAGTGTCAAAGCACTGGTAGTACTTACTAGACTTTTTTCCTTTCAGTAACAACTTCAAAAGTCTTATGATCAGAGTGGTTAGTTATTCTGATGTACAGAGGAGTATAATACAGCACGTTTGTTTGGTGCTTAAGCATGTTATCAACTGGGTTGGAGAATGAGAAATGCTGGATTCTGACTGAATAGGCTGCATTGCCTCCTACTACCATTTACCACGAATGAAAGAGACATCTGTGTTTCTCACAAAGAGAGGCTGCCTTTTGTGCTGCAGATCATGTATCACACAACATGTACTACCATACTGTGACATATTTAAGAATTCAGTAAATTTGAGCTCTGTTTCTGCCACCTTAATCTGTGTTTGGCAATTCTCTCTTCCATTTAAATCACCTTGAATACTAAGGACTTCTGCAACACGACAGAATTACACTCTGCATTCACTTCTCAAATGAGAGTGGACTCAGGTGATGAAAGATATTTAATTTAAACTGCCCTTCTAATCAGTTACACCAAAGCTTTTGATCTAAAAGTGAAAGACAACAGTTTTGAAATCTCCAAGTTCACTCCTGTCATTTCTTTTCATGTTCAAATGAACAACCCAACCTGGAAATCGAGAACAATCAGCACCTTTGGATAAAATCCAAAGCATTGCTGTTACATGCAGGTAGTAAGATTAGATATTTCTTGGTCTAACTTGGAAGAAAAACGCTCAACCCTCAAAAATTATTCTTCTGCTACAAAGGACAGATGTTCTTGAAGGAAGTAGTTGCACAATGCTTGGGGTGCAAAGATCTCTATTAGCTGGGTGAAGCACATGCTTGCTTCAGAAATTGCAAATATTATATTACTCACTCTTGTAGTTAGACCTATTATTCCACTAAGAGAAGGCTCTCTTTTTTTTTTCCAGTAAGCATTTGACTTCTGGCAGCGCTGTCCTGGAATGTAAAATGCCAAGTTGGCAGCTTTCAGAAGGGGAAATTTCAGTAAGTTAGGATGGTCTCTTGGGGCTCATATTTCCTGCAGTTCTTTTTCCATGTGTCTGTGTCCCTAGGTTACCAGCCACAGCTCTTACCTACAGCTTTGTTTCTTATTTTATGGTCTATTAATTCTAGTTTTTCAACCCTAGCATCATTTTATCCTTCAGGAATTCATTGTAAAATTCTGTCAGCCTTGTCTTTTCCTGAAATGTGTAACAGTCTATTGGTGGTAGGTTCTAGTATGTGCACCCCAAAGCTCTGAAATTTTGACTCTCACAGTGTGAGGCTGTCCTACGCTGTAGGTTATAGAAGTCCAGATTTGCTGGCAGACATATACCTTATGCTCACTCCCCACAACCCTGTTTAGGTTACAGTAACAAACATTTTGCATTAGAAAATTTCCTGACAAATCTAGTAATATCTAGTAATACTTTTCTCTTTAGAACACATATTCCCTTACTGACAGTGGTACTTTAAAGAATAGGAGCTGAATTAGGCTGCTCTAGAGACAAATCAATTAAGAGTTGATTTGAGCTGATAATAAAATACCTCTTGAAGTCCCTCGGATTAGACACTTAAAATTAGAGTGATAAAATCCTCTCTGTAATGATGAGAAAAGGAGATAAAGTTTGCAATTCTGATAAATTACTTACAAGAATCAAGACTCTGTGCAGGTAACTAATTACAGTTCAACGGTGAAAGGGTGAGCAGAGTGAATTTCCTGTACTGTTTCTTTACTGGTTATTACTGTGTGACTAAGAACAGTCCTGTTTAACAGTCCTCACCAGAATGCTCACTTCCATGAATACAGTGTTGGCACAGAGTTACAATGGCTGCTGCCTGATGAACATGTTAAGAGATGACAGACCAAGCGCACCTACCTTCCATTAACAGCAAAACATAGTTGACATATTCCATGCAACACTGCTGTGGCATTTTGTAGAAACGTTGCTATTTTGGGATTCTCATCAACAGGGCCTTGAACAGAGAGGAAACAGCAACACAACTTGTCTATCAATCCTATGTTCACCACGTAACTGGAAACAAGAGGAAAAATTGTATTAAAAATAGTCTTATCCAGTTTTAGTAACTTTGCAAAAGAAGTAATTTATGCTTCTCTACTATCAAACCATACAAAATGCAGGTTGTGATTACTTAAATACTCTTGCTGAAAGGGGTCAATAAAAAAATTCAAATTACAATAACTTCAGATCTGGCTCTCGTTAACTATCAGTAGTTTTTGTTAAGAGATCTGTCTGTTGTAGGATAATTTATGTTATACTGTACAAGAAAGATGAGTGTAAATGTTTATTTTACCATACTCCTAGAAGGACAATGGAATTTTGCCATAGTTAAATGATTTATAATAATCTTGATAGCTCTGCAACAGCACAATTTCTTTTTAGCATGAGGAGATAAACTTTGTAGAACACACTATTTAAGAAGACAATGATGTTACCCAGATAACATTTTATTGCAATACGTTTATCATAACAACTACTGCCCAGTTGTTGGGTTTTTTTCCTTTTAAAAAATATATGCAACAGTTAGAAGACTAATAGAACATGCAGGTAACAACCCTCTACCATCAGCATAGAAGGATCAGTATCAGAAAGCCTCCTCAAGACCTCAACCAACACTCAACCCAGGAAAAATGTAGTGACTTTTTTCTTCTTTTTTTAAACTGAAAACTCCTCGTTTTTATTATCAGAGTAGATCAGACAATCATTGCTGATCACCAGATCACTACTGCTGAAGTTTCTTCTTTGAATTTCTAATAGCTTAGAAACCTACGCCGAAAAATTTGATGTTCAACTTTGTACCAAGATCTCTCTGTCCACAACAGGTTCTCCCATACTTTGATCATTATCAACTCCACTTAAACTGTGCACATCGGTATCATCTAACTTCACATACCTTCCTTTTTCTACAACATTCAGCTTCTCAGACTTTACTCTGTCTCAACTGTCCATTCTGCTGACTTAGGTGAGATCAACTTCCTTTGTGGAGACAAATATCCCACTGCAATCACCTTCTTCTCTTTCCCCTCTAATTTTATTTGTATTTTCCTCCGCTCTTACCAAGTGGGAGAAACTTCTTGTCAAAAATCAGAAGAACTCCACCTGACTTAACAGACATGGGGAACTGATTGCTCTCAGAATCCATCAACTGATTCACTGTTTTTACACTGACAGTCTATACTAAACCATCCTGTTATTAGTATTACTCCATGCTACCAGATTTTCTGTCTGCTTGGTTGTTAAGTTGACTTGTTAGAGATTGCCTCTTAGAGCATAGGCTCCTTGAGATGGGAACGCCATTGGCTGTATGTTTCCATGTCAAGACCACTCTGACTTGACTAAGTATGGAACATTATTAAATAATATTGATTCTAAATAAATAATACTGATTAAACAATGCTTTTCATGGGAGCTGTACAATTATTTATTAATAATAACTATTCCCTCACATGTCTCACAGTCTGATTTTTGAAAAACCAGGGATTTTTAAGATTAAGGAAGAAAACCTTTCCACTTTTCAGACAGTGTTTTTGCTCAAAGACTCATCTCTCTTCAGGGCTAGAACCTAGACTTTCTGCCAAAGTTTACCCTGCTGACACAAAGCTTTTGGCAGCAATGAAAGTAATTAAGAATAAAAATACACCAGATATAAAGCAAGAAGTCTAATTGCAGAATGAAAGATTTTTAAAGCTGCCCAAGTATAGCAGTTAAAAACATTTAAAGATGCACAAAGTTTACTAATTGCACACTTGTTGCTCAGGTAAGTTTGTCTGTTCTATTCAGCAACATGAAAGGTTACCAGCATTAGGTTTCTTGCAGATTTTGATCTAAGCAATCCACCTGATCATACAGGTGGTAAGCAAGCTCTCCTGTAGTAGCAGAATAATTCCAGGAACAGAGCTGGGTGTTAGACACATCACAGTCACAGAGAAATGCTGAGTGCTAAAAATGTCTCTGTGAAACAGGAGGGAAGAGGAAGACCTAAATAAAATACAGCACAACCATTCTCGTCAATATTCTCTTCCTTTTTCCCTAGGAACATCTCTACAGTCTGACTGACACCTGCAAAACATGTTCATTGTCTCCCTTCCTTTACACCCACACCTGGATACAAAGTGGCTGCTCTTTTGGCAGAGAAGAAATGGATGAGAGTTTTAAGTCTACTGGGACTACTCTTTAATGGCATCCGGAGACAATGAGAAGACGCATGAAGCACTCCCTTTCTTGAAGAACTGAGCATACAGACAAGTGGAATGTCAAAGCTCTCTAATCTATTGCCTCCATCTCCCAGTCTTTTTACCCATGGTAGCATAGTTCAAATAATTTGGCTACCCTTTTGATACCCAGACAGTGTGTAGATAATTGTTGTTTATGCATCAGGTCTAGTAGCCCCAAATGGGGAAAAAAAAAAAAAAAAAAAAGATTTCAACTTTCCTGTTTCTTCCTCCATCTTCCTAAAGCTCTCATTTAATCAACTCCCCAAGGACATATGATACAATGACCTGGAGGTGAAAGATTCTCATTAATAATAGAATTTGTCTGTTTTTGACTAGTTTAAAACGCCCTCTCTCTTTTTTTCCTAATTGCGCTATTACCTTGTCATCATGCCTTTTATTCTCCATTTATAACCAGATCCCCTAAAGTGCCTCAGGTGAGGGACCTAGTTGGATTCTCATGTATCTTCTTATCTTAAGGGTATGCCTTTGCTTGGCCTAGTCAGTGTCAGATGTCTGTTCAGCACAAATATCAATAAGCAGACCTCCCACCCTCCCATTCATAAATGGGAAGAATACAACATCCTGAAATTTCACACTCTATCAAAACCTGTTTGGGGAGAAGGCAGGTTACATGAGAACAATAAAGTTTTAGAAGTCACTGGTATCTATGACAACTATTTGTTTTGCTTTCCTCTCCCAGCTGTCTTTTTTGTATCCATCAGCATCATACCAGACTTTGAAAAGTCTGAAGATGCTCACTGTGACACATTTTCAGTAGTATATAATCAGAACTTCCTTTCTTCAGA